GATGACAATGTGGTAACCACCCTCTTCCACAAAATGCAGCTATTTCAGTGTCCTAACATTAGGTGATACTAAGAAATTCCTTGCAAACTTTTCTGAGATTGTTAAAAAAATAATAATCTGCAGCTTAAAATTCTTCAAGAGGAGCAGCTTTCCAAGTTTTCACGAGCCTAAGTTGTGGAATAATCCTAGTGACTTCAATTATATACGAGCTGAATATATGCAGCTTATGCCTCTTTCTCAGTTTAGCACAAGCCCATTCCTCTTCCCACAAATCATGTGGCATCCCAAAAGAGTTCGAATGAGGTAGAGAATTCACGCACACACCCGCTTTGTGCTAGACCCAGTGATGGCTAAACTTTTTGTCGTCGTCTGCTGAAAGCATGTGGGCCCCATAATGCAATGCATGTGCGATTCCCCCTGTGTGCTCCACCCTCCTGAGCATGCGGCATGCCCCACCCCCCCCGCATGTGCACACACACACACACACATATATCCCGGCACCCCATTTTGGGCCTACTAGGCCTCCGTGCAGCCTCCTGGTGTCAGCTTTCTAGAAGAACCCAACTCCAATTAAAAACTCAGAGACAGGCATTTTTCTCAAAGTTACTTTTTATTAGGGTAGCTATACTGGCACATCTGGGAAAACCCGAATCTGAGAGTTCTGGGTTTCCCCTCAGTAAATCAAAAGTCCAAACCCAGGCCCTGCAACCATCAGTCCATCCCATGGTCCAGTGGTGGGATTCAAATAATTTAACAACTGGTTCTCTGCCATAATCACCAGCTGGGTAGGCATAGCTTGGTGGTCATGTGACAATGCGGCTATGGCCAACTCACGTCGATGGGCGCTTCGCCTTAGCTGTTACAAATATGTAATAAGGGTTAACCGGAGAGGCAGTTTCTGTAAGCAGGGCAATAAAGATGAGGCTAGAAACAACACTAGAATTTTTCCTTCCTGCCTGCCTTCCTTACAGGATTAGCCCTGTAAAGTGGGGGAAAAATAAAATGAGATTTCTTCCAACAACCGGTTCTCCGAACTGCTTAGAAAGTTACGAACCGGTTCTCCCGAATCGGTGCGAACCGGCTGAATCCCATCACTGCCACGGTCCGATCATAATCCGTCCCAACTCAAGGCATTGCTTCAACCGCTGTTCCTCCAAGTGGAGGAATACCATGACCTTGACTATAAAGAAGAATGCTATTATGTCTAACTGCATTCCCCTACTAAATCCCCCCTACTAATTTCCTAAGGGGGAATCGCACATGCATTGCATTATGGGGCCCACATGCTTTCAGCAGACAACGACAAAATTAGGAGGAATGTGGCAGCGTAGAAGCTTCCGGGATTAATATGGCCTCCAAAGCTAACGCCTGGGAGCAAAAATAGACCGCGGGAGGGGGAGGGGAGGATGCGCGGCAGAGACCCAAAAAGCAGCGGGTTACCGGGAGGCGGGCGCACATGTGCGGTGGAGTTCAGCCTGGGCGACGGCTTGCATGCCTGCAAAGAAGACCCTGCATGCCACCTGTGGCACACTATCACGGTGCTAGGCTGTAATAAGCATAAGATGCAGTGCGTCTTCTCTTAGCTTTCAACAGGAAATATGTGCCGTGGGCTTCAGATAGTTGTTGACCAAATAACCGTAATGGAGCCCAGAATCAAGACATGATTCAAAACTGTGCAAGTAGGTGAAATTTAACACTCTCTTGTGATTTGGCCCATTTCTTTAGTTATTTCCCCAGTGGTTGCAGGTGCCATACTTCAGTGAAGTAGAGGGCCCAACAGATGGAAAGACTTCTTATTGCTGGCTCATGCTTTCTGTACTAGCTCGTCCTAGACAGCTGCAGTACTGCCTAGTATCAATCACAAAATAGATACTAAGAGCCAAGGTGGCGCAGTGGTTAAATGCAGCACTGCAGGCTACTGCTAGATCAGCAGTTCAGCGGTTCAAATCTCACCGGCTCAGGGT